TACACCACCCGGTTTTTAGACCCTTGTCCGGATCGGAAAAAACACCAAACTCATACTAGAAAAACCTTAGTAGGAACTTTTTTCAAAGAAAGCTCAGGAAGAAGAGGAACAAGTGCTCAAATGTCCTAGCTGTAGTTTGAGTTATTTAGTAGCTGCAGCATACTGAACAATCTGCCTGACAAACAAAACGTTAAAATAAACAAGTAGAAAAAACCGAGATGTAAAAGCCGTGGACAGAAAACAACTCATTTAGCTTTGTTTCAGGTTAAAAAGCCATCTGGGTGGCTTCTTTAAGATGCCAATTAAAAGTAATGGTTAAAAATGAACTGTTAAACTTTGATAAGTCACACAGTTGTCGGGAATTACTGTAACTTGATCAAACTGGTGTCTATTTGTAGCAGGGTCGGCATCGGAGTTTGTTTAAATTAAGGAGCAAGAAATTATGTGACATCCAGTTTTTCATAGAGTTAGAAATAATATTTTTAAGCTATTTATAATAAACCTAAGAGTTGTAGCCCTAGCATAACCAGGACGTTTTCTTGCATTTTCTGTCTCATTTTTATTGACAACGTTAGCTTAGCGTTTAAAACGGCTACTGTATTCCTCTTAACGCTCCTTGAAATGTTATTGATAATCCGGTAGGAGACGGAGCTGAAGTGCAAGAATCTATGAACAGTTGAAAGCAAAGAATTTAGATATTATTGTTATGACAGAACCATTCAAATGATTCTATATTAAAGGAGGAAATCCATACTTTGCTAGCATTAATGTGCCTGTATCTCAGCCTGCATGTCAGAGGGGCTGATCAGAGACACGCTGGCTAATGAGAAGTTGCTCTCAGTGGTAAGGTCAGACAGGCGTTTCCTCAGCTGGGGATCCTCTGCCTTACCCCCCCCCCCCCCCCCCTAACGTCCCCTCCATCCGCTCTCTCCTCTCTTCAAACACAGAGTGTAATAAGACCAGCTGAACAGGCCCATCATGTCACCGCGCTGCAGCCCAGAGAGGCAGAGAAATCAAGCTGTCACTGCACAGCAATGCTGAGGGAGAGCTGAGGGGGGGGGGAGAGAGGCTCCCCCCTGTTCTCCCATTCACTCCCCAGAGCCTATTATAGCAGGTGCCAACACCGGGAGATGGATCACACACTCTCACACACACACTCACACACACCCCTTGTGCATCTATCAGTATGAGGCTACCCTATGCTGAGTTAATTCAAACCTAATCTTTACTTTACATAGCTCCTGAAGGTCCAAAATATAAAACATGATAAAAATAACAAACAAGATTAAGGTCATGATAGCAGCTTTGTAAGGTTATTGTGCTAAATGCTAACAGCAGCATGCTAAAATACTCACGATATAATAGCTAATGTCAGGTGTAATGTTTACAATCTCTTTTCACTGTGCTAGCATGCTAACATTTGCCAGTGAGCACTAAAAACAAAAGAACTGAAAGGTTTTTATCAAAAGTATTAGACAAATAGTCTGTTTTTAGAGAATAATTTTGTAATTTGTAGCATTATATATATATATAAAGCTATTTTCTGAGAAGAGCTGTCTGATGTTGCTTGAAAGGAGTTTATGCGAGCAAGTGAGAGTAACAGTGTAAAACTGTAAAGATGCGAGCCAGAGAGCAAATCAAAGGCTACAACTCTAAAGCTGTGTAAAGCCAAGGGGAGCTGAGGCTCATGGGATAGTTCTCTGAAGGTTTCTCACTACAAGCTACCTCCTTCACACTGTTATGTCGTTTCTACATGTCACTCGATGCACTTTCATATCATTTATAGCAGCTTCACTTCTCTGCCAGCATTCGTTTATAGTTTAATAAATGATCAAATACTGTATAAAATAACATTGCTGTAATATTCAGCTTTACTTTGTGTTTCTCAGCTTGCTATCCTTCAATAGCAAGCTGATGAACATGGCAAATATCATACTGCTACATGTCCGCATGTTAGCATCAGCAGCTAAACAGATACAGTCTCACAGATCACCCTGTGCAGTTCTACACTATTTTATTATCTAATACAAAGGAAGGAAGCTTAGCTTACATTTAAAAAAGTGCTTAAAATGTGACAAAGATTTGTTTCCAGATAACATCTGTGTCACTACCTTAAATGGTGAAATGATGTGTGTAGGTGTGTTTTTTTTTTTTCAAAGTAAGTTGTGAAATGGGGAGTTACAGTAAGTTTGAAAATCTTCTACGTAGCGGTGGATCTGTATGATGTGTGTGTGCATCTGGTAGGCCTGACACAGCTCATGTGTGTGTTTGTGTGTGTGTGTGTGTGTGTGTGTGTGTGTGTGTGTGTGTGTGTGTGTGTGTGTGTGTGTGTGTGTGTGTGTGATGGGAACAGCTGGCTGAGGGAATGAGTACAGAGGGAGAGGTGATGGATGCGAGTGGAGCTCCTGTGACAGATGAGCTAACAGGTGTTCACCACAGCCCTCAGAGAGACGCTATTTATGAGCCGGAAAAGACAGCCAGACGCAAAGCACTACGCCACCGGCCGCCTCAAAGCTACAACACATCACGTACATCTGCACTACTTTACCCGACAATAAGCAGCGCTGTCTATAGGCGGCTTCAGTTTGCTAAGAGCTTCTCTACTCACCAGCTGAAGCTCTTACTGTACATCATTCTCCATGCACAGTCCTCATATATCTACTACTGAATATTAAAATACATCAGTGTACACGGATACTTTATCGTGTATCGTAAGAGGTCTTCTACAGTTTGCAGCAAAGAAACAAACACTTGGTTGTGCTGTTGACTCTTAATACTGCTCTGCGGCACACAAACTGCTATCATCGACTCTCTTAAATATTAATGTTGTTGGTTTATTGAAGGGGTCAGCAGTTTGGGGGTTTCACTTTGTATTGCTGAACTGCTGTTTTGCTTTATGTTTTATTCTCAATACCAGGATGTGATCTAGAGTAAATACATCTAAATCAGAAAATGCAATTTATGTCGTCTTTTTTTCGAGCCTCTCATGTTCTGTATTACTTTACATTCAAATTAAAGAGCTAAGCACCCATGTCTTTTAGTTCATATGTTCAAAAACTCAGAAGGTGTTTAAGCAAAACGTACAGATGTTCTGGAGAATTTTCAAACCATCTAGATGAAAAAACAAGTCATTAGGCTGCATCAAAAATATATTTTCCCCACACAAGTTGTGATGGTACTGTAGTTCCTAATCCGGGAAGACAGCAGAGACATGTCCTTTCTGCAAGTTATTTGATATGTTAATATGAAATAATGGAGACTAACTTCAATAAAGACAGCCATTACTGATTGTAAAATGGTTACAAGTTGGTTCACGTTCAAATTAAGCAAAAACATATTTGCTCATTTCCGGCTAATACAGATGCAACTTGAGAAACAGATTTAATTTGTATTTCCCGTGCAGCAAAATATTTTTATTTTTTGAGGTTTATGAAAATTCTTCATTAAAGCAGTAACGCAGCGTCCACACGGCGGCGTGCGTTGAAGCTTGCCGGTGAACTTGTCTGAAACTCGACCAACAACCAATCACATGAATCTCCCGCCCCGGACACACAAGCACGCGGTTTGATTGGCTAGAGCTTGTACTGGCATATGATTTGATTGGCTGACGCTTCCGCCGAAGCTTCAAAAGTAGAACATTGCTCAACTTTTGAAACGAGCAACGCGAGGAAAGCGAAGCAACGCTCCCACAATGCAGTTCGGCAAAGCGTGACGTCACCCCATTCAAAGCTTCAACGCTTCTGCCCATTCGCTTTGTTGGTTGTTGGTCGAGTTTTAATAATAACTTTCTGGGTTTGGCAGGTATTTATTTTTCAGGTATTTATTTTTCAGAAAAGTCAAAAAAGAAGATGCTTAACTGTATGACTCAAATGTAAAAAATAATACATGAGTAGAATACAGTAGCTTATGTTTTAATAATTGTTGTTGGTGTCAGACATGAATCTGTTCTTGATTTAAATAATTTTGTATTTACGAAGTACTGATTTGACATATTAAGTATGATCAGCAGTTTCACAAGTTACAAGTTCATATTCATTATGATTTGCATGATTTCTTTTATTATCAGTGTTATCGTTAGTTTATTTATGAAAAAGTGTGGAAGTGAGAACTCTTTTGCCCAGTCACTACTTCCTGGTTCATTGGATACAAATAGTTAATTGTTGATGGAAACATGGGCAAAAAGGGGGAAGAAGATATGTGAGCAGGTGGAGTGACAGATTCATCAAAATCATGAAGTCATGAGTACACGGTCTGCGCCTCAGCCTGCCAATTAGCAGAACTCATCATTAACGACTTTGTGATTCAGGCACGATCCTCTAAAGGACCATAAATCACAGCAGAGAGATGTTGAAGAGGAGCCATCGGCAATACCAGCAGGACACAAATAAATAAAAGGTTATTGTTTTAATAAATTCACTTTTTTATTGTTCAGCAAAAGCGATACAAATAAAACAACCTTGTTGATTTAAGTCTAACTTATACGTTTACTTTTCTAAATAACATTATTTTCACGTAGAAGGCACTTTAAAACATGTGATTTAGGGGGCAGCATAAAGGTTGGGATGTAAAACCACATCAGGGAGAAAGGCTTTAATGGCTCAGCTTTTCAAAGTTTTATATATGGGCTTCAATTGGGAAAAAAAATAATCCTCCTTTTCTCAGTTTTTGGCACAAAAGAATGAGCAAACACAAGTATACCGTTTCTCCCAAAATCTTTGTACAGCTGATTGTACATAATATTATTTGGTAAAAAACCACAAAGGGCATGAATATGAAATAATCACCACTGTGGTTAAATGACCAGTTGTTTTGACATAATTAAATGTAGTAATGTCATATTTAGGCCTTCTGTGTGTGTTCAAAGAGGATCATCACTTTATTCAAGTCTTAGATATTGCTGCCATTCAGGTCAATCCTTTCCCAAATCAGAACAAAATAAGAAACTCTCTTAAGTATTTCCAGTTAATTCTTTGAATGAGCAGTTTATTCCAGCTATATTGTCTTTTCTGTATTTCAGATAAAAGGGTTTGCAATATCTGCCTAGACTGTCCTAAACCAGAGAAATAGAATGTATTGAATCTTTTATGAGGTGTGGTTCCCCTGTACCTTCACTAAAGGGAGGAGGGAGAGTCTACGCCTGGACGAGGGGTTGTTTGAGGTCTCGGAGCAACATGGATGCCATGACGCTCTTCTCTGTGTTGATGGTCAGCAGAGCGGTGGAGGACTCCTTCAGCTCCAAACACACCAGCACCAGAGCTCCACTGCTGACTGTCCGCCCCGCAAACCTGCAAGGGAGAGAGGACATGGGTCAGCTTCAACACTGAGCTGCACGGCCTTCAAGAGAAATTTCATCCAACAGATTTCCATGGAACTACTTTCTTCCAAATAAATCATTCCTATTAAAAACCTGTTTACAGAATGTCGTGGGGTTTATCTAGAGTCCAGTGTTCCCGGAATGAAAACTAACTTTTGGTAACTTTGTTTGTGCTTTGAGAACCACCAACAATTATATTCGATTGTGTTCGGGTAGAAGCTGACATTACAGAGACAGATATCTAAACATACATTTGACACAAAGGTGACACAAATAAACCCAGAGAAATGACAAAAGACTAAACCCTTATGAAAATGATATTACATGTAAGTATTTATTATAATCTGCATAAATGAAGATGTGAATATGGTGGTATTTCCATCAACCTGATAGAATGAAGCAAACCGATCATTACCGGGCAGGATGATGGGGCCTGTTAGTGTCAGGTATTTCATGGTATTTGAAAATATAAACCAAAGATAAGCACTCTGCACTCTCCAAGTAGGAAAAACATCAGTTTGTTGTAGAATTAAAGTCATTTTTAGTCTGAAGTAAGCCGAGTTAATTATTTCTATTAAGCATTTCTATATATGTTATACAGTAAAGGAAGACAGTGCCACAATGTCACTATTTCCTTTTCATAATTCAGATAAAACCCCTAGATATGCAGCCTGTGTGGTTGACTCCTAAGTCATTAAAAAGGGTATTAAAAACGTATAAATAGCATCAGGCTATTTAAATCTGGATTTGATAAATATGTTGGTCAACACACTTAACTCACATCTCTCCCCCAAACCCAGTAAATCATCATGTTAGAAAACTCTCCAACACCTCACACCTTGTGATTGCTCTATATGAGTGCGTGAGACAAAGAGAGAAAACGTTGTGACAGGAAATGCAGAGAGCAGAGCAACAGACAGTCCATTATCCCAGCTGACTAAAGAGCCATTAGGCAGGGACACGCCCTCCACGCCACTCAAACTGCGTTTAACCGCTTTTTATGGACTCTGGGTGTCTATGAGTGTGTGGGAGCCTCTCGACCGGTACAGGGGGGATGCCCCGTCCCACCGGCTCCCTCCGGGCCTTCGGGAGAATTCTCCGACCCCCGTTCCCTTGGAAACTGTCCCTGCAGACTAGGGGGCAAATCTGGGCACACATGGTCCCTATTGAGAGTGCTAACAAGAGGCAGACAGGGGCTATGACCCAGTGTGACCCTCTCTTTGAGGGCGACAGAGCCGAGCCGGGCCCCCTCTCCCGCTCCCCTCTGGCCCCTCTGCATCTCGGAGCCTCACGTGGCCAACTTCCAGCCATCTGCCTCCATTTAGCACTACATCCCGGCAACAAAGACCCCCCGTGGCAGCCTGCTTAGGCCTGACAAACAGCCCACAAAGAGCCCCACTTAGGCCTGACTAAAGCCTGTGAAGGGCCCCCCAGGACGGGCTGTGGACAGAGCGGCGTGCTGCGCAGCAGGAGCGGCTAGCACGTCCACCAATTAGCACGCACACGTTAAAAACCGAGAGGTGGGG